CCCCAGTGACATGTTTCATCAGCCCATGCTGTCTTTACTCTGATAAACACTGGGAGACCACAAGCTAAGCAATATTTTCTGGAAAGGGGGAAAAACGTTCTTATGAGCTTTCTTACATCCATCTGTCCTTTGATGACTGCAGCCAATTGAAGTTTCCAAATTAAAGCATCAGAACATTGTTCAAAGGCCAAAACATCTAGGTAGAAAGTTCGGTCTAATTCGAGTCCCTACTTACTAGGTTAAGAGGTTAGGCTCTGGAGTGAGATAAACCTGGGTTCAAATCGTAGGAGTTACTTATAAGCGGTGTGATCTTGGGCCAGTTACTTAACCTCTCTGAACTTCAGCTTCCTAGTTTATGAAATATGGGACCTACTTCACAGGGTGGGTGTAAACACTGATAATCTATGTAAAGTGGGGCAGAGTGGAGGAACATGGTATTATTATTATTGGCTATTATTGCCATCGTCATTAACATTATTATTATTATTTTCATTTTTGAATTTTCAGGGCTTGGCATAATAGGTAATCAATAAATGTTGGGCTTGTTAACAGAGGGTACCTCTGGAAGGAGGGATAGAAGTTACCGTATACATATCTGCATTATTTACATGTTTAATCATGAGCATGTATTGCCTCTACAATAAAGAAAAAAGAACTTAGGTTAATAAGCCCAGATGAGCCAGTCATCTGCAAGGCATTGCCTCCATTGAGCACTTAGTTCTGGCACGATGCCTACGGACTGTGAGCTGTTCAAGGGCCTGCACAAATCATTGAAACCTGAAAATAACTGCATTGGCTGCAAAATCCAAACAGAAAATTACAAAATAGAAATTAACACACGTTTCATTAACTGTCACTGCAACTTAACTATTAGACAATTACATAAAAAATTTATATCACAGGATCAAAACAATTCTTAATAAAACTCTCAAAATTACAAAAATGTGAAAAATCCATTAAGAGTCTTTTCCCAGAATAAAAATATATTTTAAATGAGGGACGCAATTTTGACAGGTCTCACGGGATGTGGGGAGGGCTGCAGACACGTAAGTGCCTTGGAAGGTCAAGAATGGTCCAGGGTATGCCCCCGCCCCCACGTGTCCTTACCTCTTTCACATAAAAGATGATAATGAATTTCAAGGTTGCAATCGCAGGAAGAAGGGGTGAGAAAAAGGCTCCGATCCAGCAAATGGTTTGCCCATAAACGATGCCCAGGACATTGTCAGGAATGGCAAACTCCTGCTGCCCCCAGCACTGAATCAGCTTCCATGAGGAACAGTAGGTCACTAGCAGCCTGGAAGCAAACCGGACAATTTCTCACCTGGGCTGCCGGCGTCTGCCACGGCCACAGAACCACATGGACAAAATCAGGGCCATTTCCATGCGTATTGCTCATGGAAACTGGTTAGTCACATGTCTCACAGATGTGGACTATAGTGAACTCTGGAATCATTAAGAGTCCAAGTCTCAGATCCGCAACTCAGCACCCAAATCAATACAGGTTCCTCGACTTCTCTGAGCCCCATTTTTCTCATCTGGGAAGGGCAGGATTGTAATACAGACTACTTCGCAGGGTTGTGGGGAGAATACAAGACAAGGAAAACCTCTGTACTCTGGCACCCTGGCTTGCTACTTAGCACAAAAAGTAACATGTAGCCACCTAGAACGTGGCTTATGAGGACCCTACCACCTGGCAGCGCCACCTCCCAGAGTCCTAGAAGCTTCCTACAGAAATCCCAGGACCAGGGGCCCCAAGATAAACATGCACAGTTGTTCACTGCCGCATTGCCACGGATTAGCAAAAATATTATGCTAGTGGCAACCTGAATACCCGTCAGTAGGGGCTGGACTGGTAAAACACAATAAGCCATGGATACAGTGAAACATTATTCAGTCTTTAAAATGCACGAGGAAGATCCCTGTGTCCTGACCTGAAAAGTCATTCATGATATTCTGTTTGTAGAGGGGGGAAAAAGAAAAAGCAATCCGCAGACTGGTGCGGATGCACTGTTGATACCATGTAGGGGGTAAGGACAGGAAGAACAGTTGCAATAGGGCTGCATTTGCTTACACATGTACTTACGTAAATGTTTTTATTTTTAAGGACTGTGGATCTACCCCACGGAGTAGCATGGCATTGAGGA